CCACACTGCAGCCACTCACAGCCCGCGTGGGGCTGCCTGTGCCTGCACATCTAAGTGACCTTAGATCTCTTCAATGCTTCATATAAGAGACTTGGCCTGTCCTTGAACATGACCACGATGAAGGTTCTTCACCAACCCTCCCCAGGCCAGCTGAACATCCCTCACGCTATCTACGTAGATGGGGAGGCTCTAGAGTATGTGGAGCACTTTCCGTATCTCGGCAGCCACCTCTCTCAATGGGCTACCATTGATGAAGTCCAGCACCAGGTCAGCTGCACCAGTGCCGCCTTCTTCAAGCTGCAACAACGTGTCTTTGAAAATAGAGACCAGAAGTCGATGAAGGTCCTGGCTTACAAGACTGTTATGCTGACCACCCTCCTCTACTGCAGTGAAACCTGGACCGTCTACCGACGCCACATTAAAACCCTCAAGAGCTTTCACCAGCAGTGCTTGTGTTGAATCCTGGGGATCAGGGAGGACCACCAGACCAGTGCAAGCATCCTCCACGAAGCTGTGTTCATCAGCATCAAAGCCTTGCTCTTGGGAAATCAACTCTGATGGATGGGCCACTGCATCCAGATGTCCAAGAACTGCCTCCCTTGCCAGATTATTTTTTCCCAGCTCTCCATTGGCCAGTGCTCAAAGGGCGGCCAAAGGAAATGTTACAAAGAGACACTCCAGGTCAGCCTCAAGCATGGAGGCATTGACATCAATGGCTGGGGGGAGCAAGCTGCTGACCATTTGGTGTGGTGCCACCTGGTCCATCAAGGCGCATATCACTTCGAAGCCCAATGACTTGATACTGAGGTGGAACAGTGGCAGCGGAGGAAGGAAAAGGAGACCAACCTGGGGCTGCAAATCGCACTCTCCTGCACAACAACATGCCCCATTGCCAAAGAATGTGTACCCGGAATCAGGCTCCTCAGTCACCTGAGGACTCATCAAGCCTGATAGACGTCATCCTCAACTCTGAGTGACTACCGCCACCGCCATGCGTGCACTGGCTGCTGCTGCTGCATGAGCAGTCCTGTAGGGCTGAGGGATGATTCTGGCACCCCTTTCACTCACCCCTAGTTATACTACTGGTTCTAGGTCTTTATAGTCTTGTGCTGGACTGAAAGGCCTCTTTCCAAATAGTCTGGTTTCAGCTATACGAGAAAGGCAGTTCTGTATATGACAAAGAGTATTATGTTTTTCCCCTGGTTTTCTTTTTAAACTTTCTATAATTTATCACTCCACATCATTCAATTTTAAAACTAAATGTAACTTACCTCATGGCAGAGGTCTGACAAGTTAGCCTTTTCTTCAGCGTGTAAAACCAATGACAGAAACTGGTAAGTGACTAACTCAGCACTGAGACAGGCATAGACAACATGTGTGTGGGGGGCATACACCCTCCCAGATTTCTGTGCTGACGGTGGGGTACAGAGTTGCAGACTGGCTGGAGCCAGGGGGCAGTGGCAACATTACTTCTACACTGACAGTGGGGTGAAGGGCTGCAGCCTAGCCAGAGCCAGCGCCTGGCAGCAGCAGGGGCAGTGGCAGCAGCAGCAGCAGCAGCATGGAGTTGTGCCTCCCCATTGTCAACATTGTCAAGGAGTAATGGGCACAAGTTGATGGAGAGGAGGTACAGATTGGACATCCGAAAAAATTACTTCACAGTTAGGGCGGCTAGGAGCTGGACCCAACTTCCAAGGGAGGTGGTGCTGGCCCCTACCCTGGGGGTCTTTAAGAAGAGGCTGGATGCCTACCTGGCTGGAGTCCCGTTTTTGTTTTTAGGGTTTTTTGTTGTTCTCCCGCCCTGGCGGGGGGTCGGGCTAGAAGATCTATTAGGTCCCTTCCGACCCTAAAACTATGAAACTATGAAACACTTACGTGTTGTCTATGGAGACAGGCATTCTATCCTTTGTACTTTTCCTTATATCTTGTGAACGATGAGGTTGAGAGTAGTTTTTATGTAGAATTTCTTGTCCTTTTTCAACTTGTATTAGAAGTATCATGTATTTTATAGCTTTCATATATTTTTCCTTATGTTAATAACAATACAGCTCAATTCATTCCAGTGCTTTATAACATGATTTATAGATACATGCATAACATTTCCTGAGGTAACTCACGGCCTATGCAGGGCTAATATGTAGGGCTGTGTTCAGCCAGCTTGAGCCACGTGAGCCATTCCCTCCCTGCTCAAATCATACCTTGAGGTCTGCACCAAAGCCTTCTAACATTATGTTTTTTGTTTTGCAAATGAAGCCCTTCTAGGAATCAGTTCATCACTACTCACCTTTCCTTCTGACCCTGGCTCTACTTACAGGCAGTAGAAAGAAGAAATGGGGTAAGAAGGCCTATTAGTCAAGAACAAGGAGTTATGGGATTGCTGCTGGAGGACTCCTGGCTCCAGGTAGGCCTGTGGCACCGAGGAGAATTCTGAACACACTGCAGGGAAGGATGGACTGGGAGGTGGCAACTCCACCTCTGACACTGGCATTCAGCAGGTGGGGGCTGGCCTGCCTCCGGGACAGAGAGCAGGACAAAACACTGCAGATGGTTGGCAGGTTTGGACTTGAGCATGGCCATATAGCTGAGCCTAACTAGCAGTGTAGACATACCCCTGCTGCTGTGTGACAATCTTTTAAATCCACCTGCTGCACATCTACTATCATGACATCCTCTATGATTCAAACTGTTGAACTGGAACCACGGCAGAGACCCAAATGGAGGTTGACATTACCACCAAATAAGTTCCTTATCACAGATCCTACAGTCTGCCACCTGGCTTCAACCTGCCATGCCATCAGTGGGCCTTGCTGAATAGGCTCCAGACAGAGCAAGGTCTGCGTGCAGCCAATCTCCACCATTGGGGTCTTCATGACAACCCAGACTGTAGCTGTGGCAAAACACACACCATGTCGCATATTGTCAATGACTGCCCGCTGACTAAGTTCAGTGGCAGACTGCAGGAACTGTACATGGCCACCAAGGATGCTATTGCATGGCTCGGCGATTATGCACACAATGACTGACTGACATATCCCTGAGCCTTTGACTAAATGAACAAAATTACATACATACACCACCACAACCAGAGAGATATGAACAAACTATGAGTTGTAAGAACTGTTCTGAAGGAAAACAATTGAAACTGTTGAGGTGACACTTTTTCTGGTGTTTGTAATTTCATAAATCTGATGCTTCACATTCCTGAAAAGAATGGGGACAGGAACAGTGTGCACACCTGAGTACAATGGAAAAATGTATAATTCTTAGGACTCCATGCCAGTACTGATGGGATCAGTGGAAACAGTATGTTTTCCATGGAAAGTTGTCATGGAAACTGATGTGGGTTGTGAAAGCAAGTAGAAAGTACAAATATTGAAATATATAATTGCAAGTCTCTCTTGCATACATATGCTTAAGTATTTTCCTGACCCACATCCAAATGTGAACACCAATAACGTCTATGAAAAATCACTCAGTGAAGAAAGAATCAATGTGAGGGTGCTAAGAACTACTAACAACAATAGTAATTATAAAGCTGTTAGAGTTACTCAAAGAACACAATGAAAAATATATTAGAGAATATATAAAGAGTTCACCTGATATCCCACATTTCAGTGCTGGATCTCAACTTCACTCTTGCTCCCTTAAGGGTGGCAAGAGCTAGGTGCACACTGGAGGTACACACAATGCCTGTGAAAATAACTGCCTTGCATCATGACTCTTAGTGCCTCTGAGGGCAGGGTTGTGCCCAGTCCTGCCTGGCTGGAAGACTGTTTATAAAACCCTTGATTCCTCAGACTCAGAAGGAAAAAAATAGCTGTACCTCTTTTACTGCAGTCTCCAATGCACTTCTGCTTCAGCATGCATCCTCCAGTGCCTGAGGTCCCCACACTTCCCCCAAGCAGCTTCTTGACTGGCTTACCACCAAACTCCAGTTCTCAGATGCAACATTTATAGGTAAGTAGCACATGTGGCAATAAAGTGAAATATGTTCCAGCCAAGCAAACGCTGAATGAACTCTTGTAGGCAGTGGCTCACATGGGTTGTGATTTCACCTCCTCTACACTGTACCTCTAGACAGTTGCACTCTGAAGGCTTCTTCTGCCTGCTGCAGCAATTTTTTCCATTACAGTCCAGCCTGAATGGCACCCTGGATCAGCCCACTCCTTCAAGCCTGCCGACAGCCATATCTCTCTTGCTTTTCTTACCATGTCTCAGGTCTGGCAAGCTAATGGTTCATCCTCTTTCTGCATTGATGCTGCTTGTCACTGGTTTCCTAGCTGTTAGACACCATAGCTCTCCAAGTAACAGCTGCTTCTCTGGCCCTTAGGGCTAGCTCCATTTCTTTGCTGAATAAAAAAAAAACTGCTCTAGGCTTGCAAAAAGTACCATAACTCCAGCAGCATTTGCCCAGCCCCATCCAGCATTAACCAGTCTTACATACACATCTGACCTACTGAAAAATAAGAGCATCTGATCACATTTCCAGCAATCTTGCATAACACTTCTTAAATTCTACCTTTCTTCAGTACTTCTATGGCCCTCACTACCATGCTGGATTTATCTTCACAACTCTCCTGAGAGGTGTGGAAATGCTGTTATCTCCATTTACACTTGAGACTGGGGCTATGAGACTTGCCCAGGGTCATAGAGGATGTCTATGGCAGAGCAGGGAATCAAAGCTAGGTTTCCAGAGTCACAAAGGCAGGCACCTTGCTCACTGTGCTGTCCTTTCTCTGCTCATATGTATTATCCCCACTCATACGGGAAACAGTGACATGAAGAAAGTATGTACATTAAAACTTTGCAAAATTTTATTAGCAAATAAAGATGAGAAATTTATTTCTTGGTTTCTGATAGAGTTTATGCTGCTTCCAGGCACTCAATAAAAACCTGAGTATTTCTCTTAAAAGAGGTACAGAGGTTAAAAATGCCAATTAAAACAGTACTGATGTGCCAACAATACAGTATCCATCCTCTCTCAACTTCTTTATAATGCAAATATTTATTTAGGCTTTATACAGATTATTGGCTCCTCTCTGCCAGACCCTATGCATCAGGTATATGGAAAAATATGTCTTCTCCCCAAAAGAGCAAGTTCTATAATAGGCAACTCTTACACTGAGTTACATTAGGACTTGTTTTTCAGTTTGAAGATGACCCTCAAAGCTGTTGTACATGACAAGTGTCTTTAAGATTCTGAAATCACTGACAGTGAAATTAATTCCATGTACAAGCTCAAGGACATTGCAACACAAGTCATCTGGATAGCGCTTAATTCAGTTCAGCCTATGCCTTGTACTGGCTTTTTTGCAGTGGTGAATCTCACCCTAATGACATAAATTGGTGTAGACTGAAAAATTTCTACACATACAGGTAGAAATAAAACCCACTAACAAATTGCGGATTAAAGTCTGCATTAAAACCAAGGCAATAAAGAAGGGTATTTTTTGTTATTTGGAAAAGTTCAGGCAACAGTTTTGTTTGATGTGATTGCTGCCTGCAATACCCATGGTTCCTTGGCACTTACTGCCATAAATGATATCAGCTACATTTGCAGAGAAAGCAACAAGAAAAGGAGAGTAGAGGCATTTTATTCCTGAGTAAGCCTCTAGCTATATGTATGAGCGAGTGCTCAAGTCCTTAACTGACCAGTTGGTTACAGTCAAATCCTGCAAAAGTCACACTGACTTTGAAATTAAGGGCATTCAGCTCCCCATAGGTGCGTTTGAGTGTTTGATACTACAGTACAGAATGTTACATAATTTTCAGGAGAGTTCTGCACCTGCAGTTTTCAGACTTCAAACTGAAGCAGAAACTCCTGTATTTGCCTAAAAAAATTCAAGACCCAGACACAGCTCAATTTCTCATGACACAGCTGATGTATTCAGGCAAATACAAGTGCCAGTTCATGGGGAAAGGAAAATAGAAATCTGAATCAGAACTTGGTAGACAAACTGAGGAGCCAGAGATTTCTCAAATATACATATTTATCTTGTTTTCTTTCTGAATATATCTTATAAGAAAAGGAAAATTGTTTTATGTGGAATTTTCTTCCTTACTTGTTTACTTACTTACTTCCTAACTCACTTGTTTATTCCAATTTTAAGTATACACAATTAATACAATTAAAAATACATAAAAACAGATAGATAAAAATTGTTCTCTGCTAGCTTATGAAATATATGGACACTGGATAAGCAAATGGAAAATTTATAATTTAAGATATGAAAAAAGAAAATCACAATAATATTAATATAATTATACATTGCAATATCAATAGAAACAACTGATAAAATGAATTGAATGGGGTCCATTACAAAAAACACACTAAACATCTTGGGGACAGTGGCAGAAATCCTCAATCGAATTCTTCAAAATCAAGTTTTAATATTGAAATTGTACCATTTGTTTTGAAGTGAAATTATAGCCCCCTTGTTACACCCCAAGGAATTATGCAATGACGTGCCTGTGTAATTTTGAGCATAAAATGTATGACTGTGCATAATTGCATAATTTAACAAGGGCGGGCTCTGTGCCTCCACCTCCACAGGGCTCCCAGCACTTCAGCTGGGAGCCCCATGAGGAGGCACCGAGTGTGGTGACAAGTGACTGGACAGCTGGCGAGGGGAGGGGAGCTCCTGCCTGCAGGAGCTGGGGTGGGTATGGGGCTTGTGGGTGGACATGGGTGTGTGTGTGGGTGTGGGGTCTGTGGGAGGGTGTGAGCCCCCCTATCACATGTTCTCCCCCACCATGGTGCATAGTCCTTGCTGCCAGCAGCGGCAGCAGCAACAGCAGGCCCTTGGGGCACTCATGGCTGTGGCAGGTAGAGCTCCCCAGTGGCACACGGTTCTAGCCAAGTTCTGGCGGCTGCACATGGCAACATGGAGCTGGCTCAGCTGGCCCACTGGTACATGACTTCAACCCAGATCAGGCTGGCTCCATGCTAGCATGTGGAGCTCGCAGCACTGCAGGCCACCAGTCGGCTCTGGGCCTCTCCATGGGGCTTCCAGCACTTCCTGCCCAGCTCAATGGCTTGTGATTCCATGCCTCCATATGCAGTTTCCTGCTGGAGTGCTGGAAGCCCCATGTTGAGGCATGGAGCCTGCCTGGCCCGATTGTACACAGTTCCCGCCTGCAGTACTGTGAACCCCACATGCTGGCACGGAGCCAGCCCAGTCTGGTCTGAAGGCACACACCAGTATGCCAAGCAAGGCCAGGGCTCCATGCTGCCATGTGCAGCCCCTGGGACTCGATGCATAATTTTGAATTTTTCTACGCATAATTCCTTGGGGTGTTCCTTGTGTCCTGAATAGTCAGTTGATTTGCATAAAATACAATTGACAATATCCATGTGATATGAACACACTGAAGAAAGGGACAGTGTTTAGCAGTCACTCTGGATGTCTTGATAGAAAAACGGTATAACGGAGGATTTTATAATATTAGAACAATTCAATATAATGCATATCCACTGTACAAACAGGAAGGGATCATTTTAAATACATATGGCTGAGTGGCTCATGTCCAGGAAATGCCCCTTTTCAAAAAGTAAACACAAAATAATAGATTTCCTGCCCATTGAAACAAATACAAATTCATAGAGACAAGAATTTTTGTGGGTGATATCTTTTATTGGATCTAATATCTAGTTGGGAGGGAGACAAGGTTCTTTGGGTAAATCTGATATCTTTTATTAGACCAACTCAAATAGTTAGAAAAATTCTTCTTAGCAAGCTTTTGGGTATAAATACTCTTTGTCAGGCTAAGGAAGCATCTGCAGGATGTACATTTGGTCCAATATAAGAGATCACCCACAAAAATCCATGCCTCACATTTTTCCTGGACCATCACAACCAAATTTATAGCAATTGAAATAAACTAATCACATTCTAATTTACATTTATTTGGAAGATATAGATTGGCAAAAACTGTAAAGAGGAAAAAAAGCAGAAAATAGGTAACAACTTTGCTCTGCTGGGTACTTGGCTGACTCATCAATCCCTGATAAAATGTGCATACAGAAGTGTTCTCTCCACAAAATAAGCCTGATGAGTAAGCCAAACCCAATTCTCAGTGAAAGGCCAGATTGGTGTTCAGACAATGCTGCAGCACTTTTTTCTGGCTATGAAAGGGAACTGATCTCATTTTTAAATAAGATTATGCACTAATTTGTTTGGGTTATGTATGTATGTATGTATTCATTTATTTAATTTATATTCTGCCCTCCCCAACAAAGGCTTAGAGCCTTAAAACAAGGCAGAATGAAGATAATTTTGAAAACAATTAAGGTAGTCAACCTTGTATTTTACAATAAATATTCTAAACAAGAGTTGTGCCCACATTTCCAGCTATCTGCCTCAGGTGTTTCCAGCATTCTGTCAGCAGAACATGTGGGAGCAGATCCTGCTACCCAAATGCTCGTTTAGCTTTGTCACGTATAATAGCCTGCTAAGCTCCAAGCAATAACATTTACTTAATTATTATCCTACCATCACCTTTGGGAGGCAAGCACTCCAACTGCTAAAAATTAGTTTTTGGATAAGATGTCTAAGAAAACTAAAGATATAACATTCTGAGAGAGGAAAGAAAAAAAAGGAACTATGAAGATATCACCAAGTCTGAGAATGGAAAGAAAACCACAGTATATTATCAAGAAGAATTTCAGGCGATTAGCCTGACAGGCCTTCCTAGATATTGGCATATACCTGGGTAGCTTAGTAAAGACAAGGCCTTACAGGCTTTACCATAATCCACAGCAGCACTGACATGGGAAAGTGCCTCACTTAAAGGAGCAGTTTTAGAATGCAGCCTTACATTTGAGGGAAATAGCTCTTCTCTTTGTATCCTTTTTCTCCACAATCAGCAGGCCTCTGTACTCCTGTCTCTTCTCCAGTCTTTTCCTACCTCCCCAGTTCTTCTATTTATGCTTCCTTCCTGTTACTTTTAGCCATTGCTCTTCATTGATTACTTTGTTTCCTTGCTTTTGTCTCTCTTCCCACATACCTTCTTCTCTATTTCCTTGTCATTTGTGAGCTAACTCCTCTCCCTTTGATATAAGGTACCTCTCCCTGCTGCATGTGCTGTGCATGTTTCTATCTCTGTGTTGGAGAGGATACAAATCTATAAATAACCCTTGATCTTGTTTCTTTCCAGGATGTTCGTGATGAAATCTGAAGCCAGACAAAATTTACCTGCCGCTGTGTTTCAATACAAATTCACAATGCTTGGAAAAATACCAGCCTCAGAATTACTGATACAAAGCTGTACGTATCAGGCAAAATCCAGTGTCTCCCTGTAAAGTCCACTGTTGCTTCTTCTGAGTCTGATTTACAATTTTAAGCTACCATCAACCCCAACACAAAGGGCTAGATTATACCCATTTTTTTGCAGTAATTCAACTATGTTGTCTTAGAAACTGTCCTACTTAAAGTAATGCAGCTGGCCAATTTGAAGGAAGATGGATCAGCATAAAAGTACTAATTTCTAAAAAATTGCAGATGATCCCTAAAGTTTACAACAGTTTAACCTGGGAGCTGACTAACTAACCCAAGGATAACTGGCAGAGCAGGACCATTGACATGTTGAGCATAAAAACAAAGGGCTCTTTTCTGCCTTTTCCATACCATCAAGGCAAGCACATTTGGTAACAAAATTAAAAAAAAAGATTTCCCCTTCACATGAGAGTGGTGTTGGAGGTATAACTGTATACAGCTCACAATGCCCATTACAAATTTGCCACCAAATATGTCATTAACAAATACAAGCTTATTTTTTAAAGTTGGCTTGAGATTCAAAACAGTTTCACTGCCAGAAAGACGGATTTTTTTGCTGTAATGAACACATTCTTATCCCTGATTCAGAATGTGACTCAAGCTGCACATAAAGGAGTGTTAGTAAAAATACAGTGTCCTCAGTACAGATGATATCATAGTTCACAAGCAAATTCTAATCAGAAACATTTTATAAATAATAGTATCCAATATTGCTTCTTTTCTGCAATTCTCCAGGACTCTGGAATCCCCAGTGGTGTAAAGTCTCAGTGAACATTGAATATTATCCAGATGCTCATGCAGTTTGAAAAGTGAGCAATTCAACATCCATGAATGAAACCATGAGGCAGGTTCTGCCATGTTGGAGTGCATTTTTTAAGCCAAGGTGATTTTTCCCCAGTGTCTCTCTATTGTGGAATTCTAGATCCACTAAGAGATGCTACTTCTCCTCAGATGAGTGACTCTTCTTTGTGAAAGATCCTCCTCATGGTCGCTTTCACAATTTCTCTGAAGTAAAGAGGCCATAGTGTTTCAGATCACTGAATAAGACACAGAGCTCCAATATATGATCATAAATACCAATTCTTTTAAAATGTATCATCTGTGGGAAAAATAATCAGAAGAACTACGAGAACCATTACTAAGCTTCTTTACACATCAGGTACATTTTGGCTATCTTCTATCCTTCAGATACTAAAGACCTAGAAAAGCTGTTGAACACAAGGAGTTTTCTACTTTAGGTAAGACCCTTTTAAGTTTATAATGGCTTCATATTCCAGACACATAAGAACTGATTTAGCTTCCCGTGAAATAATACTTTTTATGTTGAAGTAAAATTTTAGTCTCCTTTTGCCCTTAGTACTCAACTGATTTTAATAAAATAACAAACAAAAACGGAAATGATTTTCTACTTGGTCCATGTGACATGTATTCCCTCTTTTACCTGCCTGCACACGCTCTCCAAAATACTTGTTCTTTCCTTAAGGGAGATTAATACTCAGTGAATAATATGCCCTTCACTATGGTGGCCATCACCTACTGCAACTTCTATACTGCACCCCATATAAAAATTTTGGCCAGTGGATTCGGAGTTTGTAGAACCACTGCACCACAGTTCTGCTCCACATAGCACCATTGGAGCAGTGGCTCTGGTACATAAGGAGAGGAAAATTTAATGGCCTGACTTCCACTCAGACCCACAGCAATTTGGGTGCTCATTGGACCTTATGTTTCCTTTCCCCATCCCTTTGAAACCTTTTCTTTTAATGTACTTACCAGACTTTCTTCCTGTAATAGCTGGACCCTTCTTGTCAGGGAACGAGATAAATGATTGCACAGTGACACAATACTGTAAGAAAGCTATGAAGGGGTACAAAAAGATTTAAGTGACATTTGCAATACAGAAATATGAATATATTGAATACAGTTTTTCAAGCACCCTGCCCCAGAATCCCTTAGGTGAGCAAACATTGCATCATCAGTATTAAAGTTCTGCTGCTGTACCTTCCATCGCCTTCTGGCATATTGTCTCTTGAAGTTCTCTAAGTTAACAACAGACTCGCGCCGCACCATGGCCTGACACTTGTCCACAGGCTGGAAGACAAAAGATGGCATATTTATTGTGAAGCTTACCCACCGGATATACATATATACATAAGCCTGCCTCTATTTTGGTCACTTATACACTGAGTTAAGTTAAAGCTAAGGATGGGAATACTGACCATGCAAGTAGGAGCAAAGGAGTTAGACAATTATCACTAATTCAGGCTTCATATCAGGGCCAGATACAGTGCATTAAAAATACTGTGCTTGACTCTACCTAAAATGCCAAAAACATGGAAAGTTGAACAGAATGAGGAAAAACCACAGTGAGACTGGCAGGACAGTTTCAATAGAAGGTGCAGGCTCAGGGGTGACCTGGTGACAGGCTATAAGAACATAAGAGGTGTGCATCAGGATCTGGGGGAATGCCTGTTCACCAGAGCACCCCAGGGGATGACAAGGTCCAATGGTCATAAACTCCTGCAAGACTGTTTTAGGCTGGACATAAGGAAAAACTTCTTTACTGTTTGAGCCTCCGAGGCCTGGAACAGATGCCCCCCAGAGGTGTTGCAAGCACCTACTCTGGACAATTTTAAGAAACATTTGGATGCTCATCTTGCTGGGATCCTTTGACCCTAGCTGACTTCCTGTCCCTTGGGCAGGGGGATGGACCCGATAATCTTACGAGGTCCCTTCCAGCCCTAATGTCTATGAAACAGCTTTTGACTTTGCCAAGTCTTCAAAGTATTTCCTTCAGCTGACCTGTATAACCTTATTCTTATCAGGTTTGAGTATTAGCCAGCTGGCTTTCATCCATTCCCTTTCTCTGAGAGAATAAGAAAACAGTTCCATTGGGACCTGCTGAAAAGGAGACTGGGGGCTGTTGTCAGCACATTGATGACATTGTAGCCCATAATTCCCCAGTCTGACCCAGACATTTTGTAAGCATAGCCTAGGTATGGTGACAAAATTTACCCAAGGCCTAGCACTAATCCCTGCTCCCTTGGAAAGAAATGTGCAGTTGTTTTAAAGTCATTCCTCCTAACCTTACAGCAAATGCTATAAACTGAGTGCATAAGGCACGCCACACAATCTACGGTGAATCAGATTGAACATCCATTGCAGGGAACTAGGAATTGTTCTCCCAGATCAAACCAATGAACCATCTAGTCCAGTGAATGGTCTCTGGAACGTAGTTTGTATCTATTTAGGATTTTTAAAGCAAGCTGCTGTTTCAGCCCCCAAGAGGTCCCATCAAAGGTCCAGTCAGGTCTCAACTATAGGACTATTATATCCCAAATAAAGGAGAAACAGGCAATTCTACTTTCATTATGTATGCAGTGTGTTCAAAGTAAATTGCACAGTAGGTGAAAACTAAGTGGGAACTGGAACATCCGGTTCAGAAACAACACTACTATGGAAAAATGGTTTCTTTTTACAAGAATTATAATAATTTAAATGGATAATATTTCCTTTAAAAGCAACACAACTTAAAAAGTTTTCATCAAGCTTCATAAGTAACTTAGCTGCCAGTCAGCCATGTTAGATTCCACTCTACTCAGTATCCGGTGGGTGGGAAATGCTACTACTGGTGTCGTTACTAGTACATTAGAAAGCAGTGAACTATAGCAGTTAGAGCCTGTTGGTGAAATACAGATGACATAGAAAAACGAGCCCTTGCACTAAGTGGTTATGAAAAAAAAAGGGATATGGACTTTTGCCCTGTAAGTGAAAGCAATGGCTGCCATTTCCAAACTGGCTACTTAAAAGCAGCAGCACTGGTCTGTCATCAACATTTAATTCTTCTTTCAGAACCTGACTGCCCATGAAGGGGGATGTTTTTGTTTGATTATGTTGTTGCTGTTGGTACTGGTGCAGTGCTCAAGAGCCTAACTAGCATCAAACTGCCTGTAATAGGCAATGTAAACATTTATGGTCCTGGCCCCAAGAGACTTCTACCAGATACATCACAGACCTAGCCATCCAGAAGGTGTTTTCAGATGCTTTGCAGTTCTTACCAGTTCATGAAACACCAGAGGTCGATTTCTGCACTAAAACAGTGTTTCAGGGGTGTCAGGTTAACACTCAGATTCTTTGGGCCACCCAAGCTTCCAAGCAACTCTAAATTGCACCACTTATAAACAAAACCTATGCTAGTAGAGGATGCCATGGTGAAAGAAAGTCCATTATGCTTCCTCCCTCTATCAGAAGTGGAGGAAGGAGAAACATGCACAGGGAGCAGCTGCAGCAAAGATGCCCCCACAGAAGTTCTTCACTGAATTTTTGCAGCTAAAATACAGACCCTTTGCTGCATAACACAATGACACAAAGGGGCCATAAACCAGCTAGAGAACTGGGCCCTGTAAAGTTGCTTTACCTCTCTCCAATTGTAAAACTTCACCATCACAGAAGATAGCACCCTGAATAAAGGACAATTTATTGTGTCCAAAATGTGATTACATTTTACACATAAATACAGGCTATGCAATTCACTTCTCCTTTGAACCACAGAAATACAGTCCAGGATTCCATTTCAGACTGCCTTTTTTCCTTTACTTTGTAATACATTTCAAAAACAGCCTTTCCAACACCACCAGCAGTATCAAGTCCCACAAGGGAGCCAATGATTTGCCTACTTGCTGGATCTTCCTTTTTGTGGAATGAAAGGGGGTCTCTATTGACACTGCCTGATCACCATCATTAGACTCTAATATTTGCATGGCATTATATATATATACATATACACATATACACACACACACAATTACCCAATCATTTTATTACAAATTCTCAATTCTCGCTTTTGAAAACAATTACTTTGGTACATGACACTTGGCACACCTGATTTTATGAAGAGAACTAGATCTTTAAAGAAGTAAAAAATAAGCATCTTAGAATGATAAAGGACTGGCTCTACCCTGAATAACTGGCCTAAAATAATCACTTGTACTTTTTCTTCAGCAGCAGTGATTTTCATGGAGATCTTCACAGTGCGAACTGATAAATCACTGCATCACTTGCTCCAGTTTATATGGCTGAATTAACTTACATAAGTATTCTCAATTATCTGCTCTGCATGACTATTTCCTTTATCCAAACAAGGATGTTACCATGATTTTTTTTTAGGCTTTAAGGCATGTAGTAACTGTAAATAAGCATTTCATGTAAATTACCCATTAATCTTCAGGACTGGTATATTTAACATTTCATGGTAATGTTAAAACAAAATAGCTTCAGGGACAAACAAGCCTTGCAATAATGTGATATCTACTCCTCTAGGAGTTCAGAAACTAAACTTGTCACAAGAATGTCACCACTAAAAACACCGAAGAAGTTTGTGCAACACAACAATATTTTGTTTTGATGCCTACATAATGTTTTTCTGCTGAGGTAACAGATTTTGTTACTGCTGTATAACAAGACAGACAGGAAAACAGAGACCTTTCTGCATTAGAAACCCAAGTCACCATTATTGACTTGAGTCTGCAACATCAAGATTCAATCCTGCAAGGAATTCTTCACAGCAAGATCTGTTTATAAGCTCCATTAGTGATTCATTAATATCTTTGTTAAAAACAGAGCCAAAGTTTCCATTCATAGATGCTTCATTTCCATTCTCCTG